TTTTATAAGAACAAACTTTTCACATGTATATATTTATAATGATCACCTTCTATGTCTGTTAAAGAAATTTGTCTAAATTAAACGATGAGTTCGATGTTCCCAAACAAATGTTTAACACAAGTATATTTTTATAATGAAACATTTATTTGGAAACATTAAACCTATCGTTTCATTTAGACTTTCTTCAATGGACATAGACGGTTCGAATATTTATGGGACTGTATATTCTTACAAGACAATATTGTAAAGTAACGAAGCTTCGATCATAAAAATAGAGAGAAGTATTGATTACCCCTCTATAGTTTTTAATCCTCAGAATCTCAAGAAGTCGAAGATGTTCAAGTTTTTCTTAGAAAACGAAACGCGTCGACACTGATCGCTACTAGCCTTTCGTTTATTGTTCGAGATTATTCAAGACAGAGGACGTACCTTTCTTTTCCTGGTCGCATATGCTCTCGTCCTTGGACATGTACGATAGCTGCAACAAGCGACAGACCATTAAAATCACTCTTTCCGTAATCGTGCTAGGTCCTTTCCTAAGTCTTTGCGTATTTAACTATACAAGGAGGCACAAACGTAATCGTGCCGTTCGGAAACAGACACGAGTACGTGAATCTAGTTCGTACAAGTTAGAATTGTACAAGATTAACATTGATATTTCTCTTAAACAATTCAGTACACTTTACTGAAACGAAAATAAGCAAAGGTTTGAGAAACGACTTGGCGGGTAAGTTTGGAATCGAGTCAAGCGTCTCTTACCACCGGCAGTGGCGTTTCGTTACTCTCGTTGATCATCATCTCGTCGTCCCAGCTCTCGTGGTCGCCGCCCTCGCTCATCATTTCCTCCTGGGAAATCGAAAAGGTTAGAACAGACGCGTTAGACGAGCCAACTCTCGATGGCTGTCGATGCGGTATCGCACAGTGGAGGAACGGTCCTGTTTAGTCTGAGACCTCTGACCTGATACCATCTATCGCAGAGTTCTTTTCAAGATTTTTCTTACACCTTGCAGTAGATAGAGCGTTGCTTGAATTTTCTTTGATGTTATAGTAAATATTTTGAGTACCAGATCAGTATCAGTAATTGAGTATCAAATCAAAATGAAACACTCCGATAAAGGGTTAATCGGAGTAGACGTCTTTAACACGTTGATCGCCACGTCATAGTGTTGTTCACTGAAGAACTTAAAAAATTGATTCCAACGGTTCAGTGCCAAAGAAAATGAATTTCAATGAAATTCTTGAATTTCGATAAAGATGCAAAAATAAGTACCATAATAAATGTTTAATCTCTTAAGGTAAGATTCAAGCTCCAACAGTCTGGGACCAAAATGTGATGTTTATTAATCTATTATTAATCTATTGGCCTGTACAATACACCACGAGCCAGACTCGTGACCATCAATTTTCTTCCGAATATCCGACCACGAGTCTCACACGTGGTTGTAGCTCAAGATTTTAATTATGTAGTTTCCAGTAGCCCCTAAACAAAATGTAAACACAGTAGAAATATTCAAGAGTATCTGGCAGTCAACGTGTCGATGGGAACCTCAGGGTGAAATTAACGCGTAGATGGAGTTAAGAAACGATAGTCGACGTACATTTCCAGTAATGCAGGTGATTTTCGGTGTGAAGACGTCGTGTGCCGAGGGTGGATCGTCCAGAGGCGGACGCCCTCTGCGTCTCTGTTTCGGAGGCGGTGGTTCGTCGGCGTCCCCTTCCCTGAGGACCGTCTCGACGCCTGGAGGTGCCGCGCCGGGACTGTGACCGCTGTTGCTCAGGTCGTTTTGCGAGGAATCGCTGCGCCAGCTCACCTCGGCCAAACCCTTGATGTGTAAATCTTCCGCGGTTTTCAACAGGGACGACAGTCTCGTCTGAAAGGACCAACAGACGTTTTTAATCACGCTGCACGAGACCCAGAATGCTTCGAGGATCCACATTTCCTCTGACTTGGAGGTCTTGCGATTCAATGACTCGCAAAATTTCAAATGATTCAGGTTGCTTTATCGATAGAGGTTTATTGAGAGCGTGCGTTGCTTTATCTACATTCTGTTCTGTTTTAACGATGGTGTGCACTCTTTTATCGACGAAATACGACGAGCTAGCCTGTCAGATGTAGATTGCTTGTGTTACACGTCAGGAGTTGCTTTATCAACAGAATTCCCTGTTTTACCGAGAGCGTACGCTGTTTTATCTACATTCCGCTC